CTATACTAGCAAAGACTTATACTCTTAGAAGATAATATATATACTTAGAAAAGGCGTTTTATAAGGTTTGTATCTATAAAAAATTTTATTAAAACTTAAGTGTAGCTTTAGTTAAATATTATTTATAAGCGATTATTAGCTAGCTACTATATAAAGTTATAAACTATTGCATTAACTTACTATATAAGTAAGATTAAAGAAAAAAAGAGCTAAAGAGGTAAGAGTAGTCTTATAAGTATAGACGAATTTGTCTTAAATTATAAAATATACCTACTCTTTTATACTTTAAGGTAATAAAAAAGCTACGTTATTAAACGTCTAAATACGTCTTAAGAACTTGCTTAACCTTGCTTTAATAGTAAAGTAAGAAACGTTTAAAATTAAATAAAAGAATATCCTAGTAGCAAACCGCCTTTACTATCTAGTAGGCAATAGTTCTACAATTAGCAAGCAATAAACAGCCGCTATTACCTTTATCCTACCCTACTAGTAGTTAAAAGTTATAAGCCCTACGCCGCTATTTTCGGTTAGTATATACTACACCCTTATACACCTAGTGTCTAAGGCTAGCCCCCTTGCAACACCTATTAGCGGCAACTTAAGCGTTCCTTAACTAGGATCTAAGCTGCACGCCTTCTAAGAAGCTTTAACAAATAAGACGACCTATACATTAGGCAGGATCCAGCGTTTACTGCCGCTATAGACTAAGCAGTATGTGTGCGCTTCTACGTTACCTAAATGCAGTCGCATAAGTAAGCGGTCTACAACCGCTCGGCAACAGCTAATAACCTAAAGCGCTTAACTCTTTTTCTTAACTTTATAAAGGGAGGTTTTTTAACAAGTAAGTAGCTGCCGCGTATACACCTCTAGGCTAATAAGGGCGTTACCTAGGGAGAAGGAGGATAGTGTAAGGGTATTCTATACACGCGTCCCTACGCACCGGTTTGGCAACTAGTCGCTTACTAAGCAATAGACTTAACGAACTATCTTGACACGTTGCACGGGACTAGCACAGCTACTTAGCTGTGCTACACCCTACTAGGGTTGCGCTACACCGCATCTTCTAGCTACGTATAAATTAGCTGGCAGGCCTTTGCATACTAGTCTCCTATAGTTTGTTAAGTTAAAGTCTTAATATAATAGTATAAACTAGTTAAGCTTTTGTAACTAAGCATTGCATACTAACCCTTATACGCAACCCTAGTAGGGCGTGGCATAGCTAAGTAGCTGTGCTAGTCTTGTGCAACGTATTAAGATAGTTCGTTAAGTCTGTTGCTTGGTAAGCGACTAGTTGCTAAACTGGTGCGTAGGGACGCGTGTGTAGAATACTCTTATAAAATTATACAGTATACACTAACCCTTATAAAGAGCTTTATATAAGTTTAATAGACTACTATTATAAGATTGCTGTAATATTTAGTCTCTTTAGCTTATAAAGTATACTTTTAATAAATTTAATTAGTATAAAGATACTAGCGCTATTTAGTGCTAAGGAGTTTAATTAGTAAGCTAAAAAAAAGAAAGGTATAATAGTAGTTACGTTATAAAAAGCAGCCTAGTATTACTAGTATAGTTAAACTAGTTACTTTATTACGAACTATCTCTAACGCTATTACTTACTGCGTAGCAAAAGACCTTTTACTAGACGTTAGAGCCTAGGAAAGAAAGTTGCTTTTAATACTAAAGTAACGTTTATACGCAAGCATTTTATAAAGAGTGCTCTATATATACCTTATAACCGCTAGAGAGGTTAGTAGATTATAAACTACTGTATACTATTTAAAAACGCTACCTTATATACTATATAAAAAGGCCTCTTTTAGTATAAGGTAGATAGTATAGTTAAACGTCTTTAATACGTTAATAGTAAAGTAGATTAATAGGAGTAGGAGTAGGCTAACAAAGCTAAAATAAGCAATAGTACTTAGGACCTTAACTTCTTATAAAAACTTGACTATAATACTAACGTTAACTAAGAAAAAAGCTATATATACTAGATAACTTTAATTAGTAAAATCCTACTACTTAAACCTCTTAAAAAGTCTTTTAAAGGTTATAACCTTTACCTTCGGTGCCTTAGTAGTATAGTAAAGTTAACTAAAGTAGTATAAGCGCTAAACGTTAGATTAAAAAAATAAAGAAAGACGTAAAAAAATAAGAACAATAAGAAACAATAGCCGCTAAATGCGAATATTAGCATCTTTTAGGATAATAGAAGTGTAGCCTATTAAGCTACTAAATCCTTAGTGTAGTGCATATAAAATATACGCTTGCTAGCAATACTAATAGTACTTTTAGGCATAGGCTTAAGGCTTACTATAATAAAAGATATTATTATTAACTTTAACCTTTTTTTAATAGTCTTAACGGCTTAATAGTAAGCCTTTTTATTTTATTTTATATAAGTATTATACTAGACAACTAGATACTAGAAGACCTCTTAATAGGCTAGCTAGTGTAAGAAAAACTAGGCTTTTTATATAAGCCTAAAGGTATAATATACCTTACGTTACTAAAGGCTGCTAGAATACAGCCTACCTTACGCATCTCTCTTTACTAGTCTTTATATATAAAAATAGTATATTACATTAATAAACAAACCTTTAACGTTAAGACTAGCCTTTTACTAGCGCTAAAAGCGCTTGCAAACCCCTTTTTACCCTTAAAGATAATTGCTTTTTAAGCAAAATACTTAGAGTTATTTAGCTTAAAGGGTAAAGTAGTAGCCTGCACTAAGCAACTTTGTTACGTTATTAAGGATAAAGACTACTTACTTAAGGTACTAGATTAGGAAGAGCTATTATAGCGCCTTTAGACCTTATATAAGCAGCAAGGTTACTATAGCGCTAGTATACTTCTTAAGATAGCTAATAGCTGCTACTAGCATTTATATCTCTTAGAATTAACTAGTTAAGTAAGTCTAACTTACGTAAGCTATTAGATTAATAAGACCTAGCTAAATTTAAAGGCTACGTTAAAGCTAACACTTCTAGCAGCCTTATTTTCCTAGTAAAGAGTTAGCTTTGCTAGCCCTTTAGCCTAAAAGAAGAAGACTTTAATCTACCTAGCTACCGCTATAGATTATATAACTAGTTATCTAAACGTATAGCTATATACTTTACCCTTTATAGTAAAAGCGTTAGCGCTACTAAAGACAGTAATCTAGCGCTATAAAGCTTTAAAAAAGATTATAGTAATAAGCTTATAACTAATTATAAATAATAGCACTACCTTTTTAAAGACTAGAGTATATAGTGCTTACTATAAGCAGCTAAGTATTACTTTTTTACTAATAGCTTTATACTAGCTATAAAGTAATAAGCAAATTAAACGCTTTTACTAGTCTTTAAAGAGTATACTATACCTACTAATACAGACTTATTTTAGTATTATAATCTTAAACTTAATTAGTATAGCAATTCTAATATACTACTACTATCTTATAAAGTATAGCTATAGCCTATACTTCTTAACTTTTAGCTGCTAGCCTTTTATATATATAATGTATATATAGTATATATAAAAGCTTACTTATATAAAAAAGGTAAAGTAGCTAAAATAGTAAGCTTATAATTCAATAAACCTTAGTAGTATTTAAGATTAGCTAGCTTTAGTAAAGTATATTTAAATAGCTATATAAAGCCTTTTATAAACTAATATAGCTACTTTTTATTACTTTAGCATTAAAGACTAAGTGCTTTAAGCCTAGCCTTAAAAGTATAAGCATAAGCCTTTTTATAAAAAGCTGCTTTAAGTAACTGAAGTACTCTTAAATAGCTACTTTAAGCTTTATATACCTAATAGTACTAGACTTTTAAACCTATATCATCTTAATAACATCTTCTTAGCGTATATTTATGATTATAAGCCTATCTTAAGCCTTTGGAGTATAGCTTAAAAACAATGCTAAAAGCTAACTAAAGATGCTAAAGCTAAAAAGCTAGCTTATAAGTAACAATTTTTTACTTTTTTTATTTTTTTTACTACCTCTATTATTATCTTCTTACTCTCTAGCTAAACATACAAGTAACTTAGTTAGTACCTTAAATTACTAGAAAATTACACTATTTTAAAAGTACCTTTTTATATATAATATAGAGAAATTAAGGACGCTTTCGTTTAAGAAGAGGGCGTGTAGATTTCCTAAGGTCACCTAACCTCGGCCGCCGAAATCACTAGATAAGACGAAGCCCTAACTAAACGCACATCGCGCACAGTCTAGAGCTTTAGTCAACCACCCAACGAAATATCATCACTAGATCTTCTGAAGGCCTTAGAGCTTACTACGATACGTGCAACTGGTCCGGACGAATATCCCACAAGGATTACCGTACGGGTCTTACACTGGTGCTCGCGCAGAACCTGCGCGGCAGACTAGTGGTGCACGGAGTAGAAGCCACAAAATCAAAGGCGATAAGATAAGTTATCTGACCGCTTTTTACTGCCGCTTTTTGCTTGCTTTTGTGAGCGTCCGCAACTTGTTTCTCGCCAATGTAAACATATGTCTTGCCCTCCAGCCATGCTAAATCTAGTCCTCAGGTTTTGCATAGCCAGAGTTAATTGAGGTCCTTATTACTAGGTGAGCGCACACGTTCCACGTACGCGTCCCGTTACGGTGACGCCTGCGGCCTCATTCCCGGGCACGGTAAGGCTCGACCAGCAGCCATTTAGTTTCTGCTATACCTAAAGCCCGCTAAAGCCAGGCAGCCGAACAGAAATCACAGGACTGATGAAATTTGAACAATTCCATTTCAGGGCCCGCGACTTTCCCCCATTACAAACCGCAGAAGAAAGGAGGAGGTAGTTGCAACACTTATCGCCTCATCAAGCAGAAGACTAAGGTTTATCTACGATCAATTTCACTCGGAAGGATATACACCCGGTATGGCACAGACGCAGACTCGAAACAGTGCTGATCGGTCTAAGTTCGTGTTTTGAAGCATCCACAGAAACAATACTATGTTCGGATAGTTCTGATTGGCGCACTTGTACCGAAAAAAATGGCATCTCAACGCAATCGGAATGCCCGCGGCCCCAACAGAAATGGGGGTCAAGGAGAGGAATTTCAACTGTGGCAGAGCATCAAAGAAGAACTACGCACTTTTGTCGAACTACAAAACGCAGATAACGACAACGTGCAGAAGATTATTACTCAAGATACGTTTATGGCACAGAACACAAAAATAATAAATAGCGAAGCTGAAGAGCGCAAGCAAGAAGAATTCTTTCGAAGAGGAGTTCGGTCATCTGAGGCGGTTTCCGAATGCATCAAGACACTCATAGGGAATCTTGAACTGATACGGGCCATTCAGAAAGGGAAGGAGGAAGAGGCAGAGCAGAAACCCGTTTTGCCAACACCGTCCCGGTCTAGTATGCTAGCATCAGGATTTTCCCGCAGCACAGGCAGGGCTGGCACAAGAGAGAGAGAGAAAGAAAGGGAGAAGGAAAAAGAAAGGGAGCGAGAAAGAGAGAAGGAACGAGAGAGGGAAAAGGAGCGAGAGAGAGAGAGAGAAAAAGAGCGAGAGAGAGAGAGAGAGAGAGAGAGCGAGAAGGAGCGTGAACAGGAACGGGAAAGGGAGAAGGAAATTGAGACTAAGGAACTGGAGAAAGAGAAAGAAAGAGACCCTTACGATTTTGATGGCCTTGGCGATGAGCCTGACCAAGACCAGAACAGCAATCACGCCCAAAAGTTTGGGAGTGGTGGAAGTGGAAATGGTGCAATCATCGGAGGTGGAGGCAGTGATCGTCCTGGAAACCGCGATAGTCTCCCTCCTCGCGGCGGAGACCGTGACACTCCAGTCAAAGCTGACAGCGTCGAGCCACAAGGGTCAGGGAGCAGTGTGGCCTCGGCCGTACAGCGATCCAAAGTAATGTTTGTCAAAGGGCAAGACGTCGTGTTCAAACCTTCGAAAGCAGCCAATCCAAACGAAACGACAGAGTGGTTCTTGGGAAAAGTTCAGCAAGTTCTTGGCGAGGGCAAGTCGCGGCGATACAAAGTCAAAGATGAAGACCCAGATGTCGCTCCTGAATTGCGCCAGGAGTATCGCACGAGTGCCAGCAACATGATACCTCTTCCTCCGCCAGGTCAAGAGTTGTTAGAATTAGAGCGAGGGAAGACTGTGTTGGCATTGTATCCTGATAGCACGACCTTCTACAAGGCAGAGGTCATGAACACTGATAAGGAAACTGGAAAGGTAAATTTACGATTCGAAGGCGAAGAGAACTCAGGAACACTTCAAGAGGTAGAAAGACGCTTTGTTGTTGAATACCGCAATTGATATGGGCGGATTTATTTTAGTTTTTCTTAATTTACCTTGACAGCAAAACCAAGCTCCTCTGACTTCAATTTTTTTTCCGTTTCGAAGCTCCCATTACATCGGTTTTACATTGTCCTATGTGAAAACTCATAAAAACAATATCTTTGTTCAAGCCCTACGAAGTGTTAGCCAAGTATAGCATCGAGAGGACAGAACAACACTGGCGAAGAACACTACGCAGGGCTAGAAGCTCCAGTCTGGACTGCTGAGAATTCTCAGTCACATACAGAGTGCACTGCAAGCAGTTATCAGCACGCATTTCGAGGTTCTTCTCCTGTTTTCGATTGTGCAAGCTTTGTCTTGAACATTATTATCGACCAAGCTGCCGGTAAGATAGCCTCCTTTCTCGGGGGACTCTTTTGCCTTTATCAGATCGGTTGTGTGGCGAGATCGAACGAAGTCTGTCACGTGATCATAAGTGAGGCTCGAGTTAGGGCTAGGGCCCATTTGTGACAAGAAAAGCACAAGGACGGAAATTTGTATGACCGCCCCATCGAGGTGAACGCGCAAATTCTAGACACGAGGAAAAAAATCACAAGCTGCTTGTTTAGAAATTCGACCTTGTTCTCTCTTGTAAACACATAACTTCCACGACCAGACAATCAAGATGGCGGACGCAGGCACCCCCGTCACCTTGCGCACCCGCAAGTTTATTCGCAACCCCCTCCTGGGCCGCAAGCAGATGGTTGTGTATGTGCCAACCCATAGCTTTCTTCCGGGAGAGAGCAGCCTCTGCGCCTTCTTTGTATACCAACTATGACTGACCGGGCTTCTCTCCAAACAGTGACATTCTACACCCGGGCCGCGCCAATATCTCCAAGGAGGAGCTTCGCGACAAGCTCGCCACTCTTTACAAGGCGACAAAAGACCAGGTCAACGTTTTCGGCCTGCGGACTCAGTTCGGTGGTGGAAAGACCACCGGGTTTGCCCTTGTTTATGACTCCCCCGAGGCGCTGAAGAAGTTTGAGCCTCACTACCGCCTTGTTCGTGTCGGCTTCGCCTCCAAGATTGAGAAGCCAGGCAGACAGCAGCGTATGTACCGAGGACAGCACAATTCATACATGCATTTCCAAAAGATTCACTAACCAGTGTTTTACAGGCAAGCAACGGAAGAACCGACAGAAGACTCTCCGTGGCACAGCGAAGACCAAGGGTGCGAAGGCAAAGAAGGAGAAATAAATTGTAACTCATTGTTTTGTTCCTGCTGGTGCAAATGGGACGGCGAGGAACCCGGCTTCCTCTGGGTATATGTGCTTCATTGCACAAATGCTACAACGGTGTCACGCTTCGTGGCATACAAAAATCTCGAAACAGGAATTAAAAAAAATTGAAACTAAAAGAGGAACAAAAGGAAATTGCCGATTTGCAACCGCTTCAAACCCGCCACCCCAACTAACCCCATCCCACGTTGATCAAGGTACATAATCTTGCGCGATCTTTTGAAAAATGGATGCTGAGGAAGTCAGGCCAGGCAGGCAACGAGGCAAAGTATCACCCTCCAGATACAACAATGAGACTACGTGCATCACGCTCTGGTCAGAAGATGCACTTCTGTCAATGACGGGTTCGTGAAGTCCGCAGTGCGAATACGTGCCGATAGTAACGCATGACTAACATGGGTCTTACAAATTGCGTATCACCATGGGCAAGATGTGTATTTTCTTCTAGTGCCACTGTAATATCCCCACGACACGTGGGGTGTAGATATTTCGTGATGAGTCTGAAGCAACATTTCGTCCCAGTTAGGGCTGTAAACTCCGAGCGGGATGAAGAAGGGGGAGGGGGGGTTAATGATTTTGAGGAAACCTTCGAATACGGAGTATGTGTTCCTGTCGTGACGATACGATTACAGATGCATTCTTATGGGGCGCGCTGGTGCTGGACTGCCGTTTGCCAAGACGGAGTATTGCCGATATTGGGAAGGGCAAACACGTACGGCAATCTTCGTCACTAGAATAGAAACGGCCCTGTGCCGTCAGTTGAGAACTACTGGGCCGTTTTTATTTTAATGCTCGCCGGGTTGACTGCAAAATAATGACGTCTAGAGAATACTAGCGTCTGGTAGGAAGCAGCCTGGCAATGGACGGTGAGTACGGAGTATAGTGCAGCGTAATAGATCGCAAAAATTAATGCGTATTGAGAGTACGGGTTTGTAGCAACTTAAAGTGGACAGTACATATAAAGCTCAAATGTTCTTTATCAACAGAAGCAACTTCCTATGCCGTTCTTATACATGCTGAACAGCATCACACAGAGTGAACCTGGATTCATGCAAATTAGCAGGTTGGAATACCCCAACCGCTCTCTTTAAGCCAGTCACGGCGTTGCAAACATTATCCTAAGTCATTACCAGCTACAAGTTTTATCTTAAAGTTGTCCTTGGCGATACAAGGGAATATTATTTGATTGTCAACTTTCTGGCTCTCTATGCCTGTGCAATAGTGTGATCATTCCTCATTTGCATCTATTTGCAAGGAAATGATTGTTGCAAAATGCGTGGCTCATTGAGCTCACTAAAGTAAATTTCCCTTACCCCCTCATCAATACTTGCGCGCTCCTCCCCATCATCAGCTTCAGGCACTTCAAACCGATCATACAATCGCTGGCCAGTCTCCTCATCATAAACCTTCTCTTCTTCCTCAAACTTTCGATCCTGTTGTGAGAGAAGAACTTCGAGAATGGTGGCCTCGTTTCTTATGTCTATGACAAGAGCAGTAACATCCACAACTTGTGGCTGCCAATTCGTTTTCTTGGAAAGTGCCCACCGCTTCCAAGTAATGACCATGCCGGTAGATATCTCGCCAGGAGATAGTTGTCGTAGCTTTGATGTATCAGAAGGCAGCCGTGGAAAGTCGATCTTTCTTTCAAGAATATCTTCCTTGGGTGGTGGCTGTATGGCAACCCGGCAAGAGGGATCGACATCATGCAGTCCTGACTTTCCCTGTCCGTTCTCCGCTCCAATCGACTTAAGTTCATCGAAGCCGTCGGGTTCTGCAGGCTCTTTTTCGTTACTGGTCAATTGCATACCGCTGCCTCGTTGCGCTCGAGTCAATTTCCCCCATCGTTGTACAAAAGGGAATGGTGGTTCGCTCAAATCAACACTACGATCGCAGCACTCGACAGCACGATAAGCAATCCGTTCTCTCCAGTGTTTTGGCCGGCTGTCATGTGAGAAAAGCCCTTGGAAATCCCCCATATTGCTCAATTCAGTAATCGACAGATCCAATTCAGGTGTTTTCATGACAAAAGGCCTGATATTGCACAACTCTGTCGAGAATGTCCGTTTATCGGAGCCCTCTTTCACATTTCGAACATCAAGCGCTCCAGACAGCATCCGATGGCTGGCATCGACATCAAGTCGAAGACTACCATGGTCTTGCCGTGGTAAATGTGTGTCGCTGGGGAGTGCTGCCTTCAAAATCGAGTTGTCGACAGACGAGTCTGAGCCAGTAAGATATACCTGAACGGCGTCCGATTCAACTGGTCTTAACATCCGTTCCTGCGTAGTTGTTTCAGCTCTATCCGCCATTGTGACCGCTGTACTCGCTTCTCTAACTCTTTCCATTGCTCGCTTGGCACGCCTCCGAGCATTTCTTCTCTTTGTCCTGGCTTTCCCCTGTATTTCACAGACTGGGCTATCTGCCAAAGCTGAATCATTTTGAGTTCCCAGTCTTTCCACAGTGTGTTTTTGGACACGTTGGTCAGCGATGCCTTGAGCGGCGGGATAACCCATGTAAGCAGGCAGCTGGCCAGCATGCTTTGATGAACAGGCCTCAGAGTATGACCCGACATTCTCGACGGTCATTGGGTTTCCGCCTTTCGGCGTGATGTTCACGGCGTTAGTTTGAGCGCAAATTTGCTTGTCCTCTCTCTCATTGCCTCCACTCTGGTTGTTTTTATTGTCCATGTTGTTGCCGTCGCTGCCGTCGCTGCCGTCACTGACGCTGTCGCTAGAGGCACATAAATTACTTGTGCTACTCTTACTGACAAGACTCTCTGAAGCAGCGTTGGCCCTAGGCCACTGTCTCAGTAGATACTTATCCTTGCCGCAAAAAGAAATAGCGAGTCCCGTTTCTACCATAGCACCAAAGTCGTTGTCAACTACGCCGTTCGAAATTGTCTCAACTTGCTCGCATCGGCTGCCAACGTCGGAAGGGTTTTCTTGAAGCAGCTGTAATTCATCAGGTTCGAGACCGCTATCATCTGCCGAGCTCCCTTCGTCGTCTAGGTCGCTATTCGATACGAAATCTTCATCGTGATCTTCATCGAAATCTTCGTTGTGCAGACCCTGATGTTTGTCTAGTTCATCCAAGCGCAGAGGCGGAGTCTGCTCAGCATCGGACAAATCTTCAAAGGCATGAGTGACTTTTCTTTTCTTGCGTGGCGAAATATGAATCGAGGGTCGGTGACGCGGTCGCTTTAGCAAAGGTCGTCCAAATGGCACGCCGTCCAGAAGATGTCTTCCATCGTTTGAGATCTGGCTTCGACCGCCTAGTCGCCGCTTTTTCACTTCTTCAAGGGATAAAGGTCGGATCCTGGTATATTTAAAAGTTAGCGATTAGTGTTTAACGGCATGCGCATAATCGACGCAGATGCAGCACTATAAAGAAGCACTTACAAAACCTCATCATCCTTCTCCAGAGTGTCGGCGACCGTTTGGAAGTGAAGGCACTCAAAGCTGGTACCCTTTGAAGATTGTAGCTCCACGACGTAGTCTTCCAAGCCCCAGTCGTCTGCCTCGAGCGGTATTATCCCGTTGACTTCTTCTAGGAATTTGGACACGGTCGCATCGTCACCAATATTTAGCACAAAAACAATTCTAGTCTCAGGGAGACCATGTCGCCGTATACGAAGACGCAGTCGCAATACTCCTTCGCCCATACTGAAATGTGCCGATGGGTTGCCGGAATAGTTGGTATGCAGGGAGGCGAACGAGCTTGGATTTTTGCTCGGTGCATGGGAAGCCTTAGTTTTGCGGGATTCCATGGGTTAAATTGGAAGTGGGGCATATTATGTTTGTACTCCGTACGGAGTACTCCGCACGTAAACTTCATTGTCTGCTCCGTACGGAGTACAGAGTAATGGCATCTTTATTGATAATACTACTTCAGGGCTGAGATGATAAACAACAAAAGCACTCTGTAGTCGATATCATATATAGTTCAAGTCATAAGTCCACCGGAGTCGAGCAAGTGGCCCATTTTTCGAATCTGGCAAGAAATTTGATTAGTGCTCGCTCTTCGATAAGACGTGTAGTGGATGAATACCTTTGTGCTAAGATATCCATCAACCTCGCGACTCCGGAAACCGCCCTCTCCCCGCCACGATAACGGTACCATAGGTACCCGTTCCTTTACAACCACCTCTCGGTTGGGACCCTCTACCGCTCTGATTTTTTCCGGGTTGTTTGTGAGAAGGCGAATCTCACTCTGGCCCAAATCAAGGAGCATCGCAGTTGCCAGGCCATAACTTCGTGCGTCGGCCGGATGTCGCAGCAACAGGTTGGCTTCAACCGTATCGGATCCAAGATCTTGTAGATTGTATGCCTTCAATTTCTCTCCCAGACCTATACCACGTCCTTCCTGTCGGAGATAGATAATAATGCCACCAGCCTCACTTGCCGGTAACGACATCAGCCGCGCTGCTTCATCGAGCTGTTCCCCACAGTCGCACCGGGCCGACCACACAGTCTCACCCGTATAGCATTCGCTGTGAACTCTGACCAAAGGAGGCCCAGTGTTCAAATTTGGCGACAGGGCTTGAGAATCGTCGGAATTATCCGCAATTCCACTGGTCGTCCTCCCAGGATAGAGGACTCCCGTATATGCACCACGGGTCATTCGGTCTCTTTCTGTTTCTCCCGTCCGTGGAGCATCGAGGCTACTACTTCTGATGTGGTCCCCGAAAACAATTGCTAAGTGTTCTTTCTTGTCGATGTTATTAGTGTATAAATGAAGAAACATCTGCGTCCCTGTTACTGTGGGGATCCGAGCACGCACGATGCACTCCACACGGGGCAGGGTATCAAGGAGGCGGGGTTTGTTCGTTCCGCAGCCACCAGACGGCAGGCTACTGTCCACAGGAACACCACGCGGCTGAATTGTGTGCTCGTCCGAGATATGCGATATTTCAACTTGCGCATCGAGTGCCGCTGATCCCGGAGTGGTGGGAGGGCTGAAAGTTGGCGATAGTAGCGAAGGTGGGGGTAGGTGTGTATCATTTAGAGAGGGGTGATGTGGTTGTTGATCTTGACTTCGATGTTCGTCGTCGCTTGATATGGCAAAGGGTAGCGAATGGGCTATTTTTTCGTCCTGGCCCTGAGGTGAAAGAAACTGCTCTTCAATCTCATCTGTCGCGCTTGCGTCTGTTGCTGTGGCACGTGGCGAGTAGAACGAAGGCAATGGATTGCTTTTCTGCCATTGCGTCTCTTCGTCTCCTTCTCTCCTTTGCTGGGTTCGGAGCTCAGAGTCTAGCATTTCGGCAGTTTTATCGGAGCACGTTGGGATAGGCGCCGAACGTACGACCGTCAAGAAAGAGAGCCAAGTTGATGAGAGGACTGAAAGGAGTTAGAATCACAAGATCACGACGTATTATGTGGGAATTAGTAATAGCTTTTCTAGCGTTCAATACTCCGTAGTATGGAGCGATCGCAAAATGCAGAAGTGCTTATGTAAGCATATATCGGTAGCCGTTTCCTGCCAGGAGTTCATGTATCTTGCTTGCAGCGATTCGCAGCCGATTGAGCTACCTGTGCACTTGAAAAACTCTTACGGCAACAGAGTATTGGTGCTAGTTCAGATATTCAAGTGTCATATCTCAGGCGCGTATACTCAGTAGCAGGATTACACTCAGGCTCCTTTAGAAAGGTACGAAAGACAGAGTACTATAAGCTGGAAGAAAACGGCCTCGTACGCATCCTTAATTGCCGTTGCTGTGGTCTTCCATCTCACAGAAAGCCAGAAATACAACAAAGGCTTCATCCTCCTCCAAACTACTGGCCTCGAGAATAGCCTCTGCTGTAGCACCAACAAAAAATACGTTCCCTTCGGAAAAAATCGCAACTTTGGATCCCACTGAAATACGGCCTTTACCGCCCGTGCAAATGGCAACAGTAGGACCAGCTAAAGGCTCAAACGTCACCCTCGATCCCTGGCTCTTCAAGGACGTCCGCAATACACTGAACTCTTGTATAGGAGGATCGTAAAGAATGCATTCAGAGCCCGAGCTGTAGGCTGCGCGATTCAATGCGACGTAAGGGTAGTCCACCGGATGCATCTTCTGCTGATCGATCGGGGCGTAGTTGTAAGTCAACATCGAAGTCAACGTAGGTACGTCTTTGAATTTCGGTGTGAAGCCCGCGCGGACAACATTATCAGAAGATGCCATGCACTCCACAATGTCTCCCGATATGTAGGCATGGATATCGTCCGCCTGTAAAAATAGGGCTTCGCCTGGCTCTAGAGTGACATAATTGAGGAAAAATAGATTGAAAATGCCGTAATCTACTCCAAATTCGCCATAAAGACGTTTGATCAGTTCCGAGATGATGTCGCTAGACGTCGCATCTACACCACCGCCGGCAAATCCAGTGGGGTCTGCCGAGACGGAAGCTAGTAGTGAAGCTGTGGCGCTCTCGAGCGCTGGCCGAGATGCTGACATGAGGGACGAGAAGGCGTTTTTCAAAGCAATTTTGTTGCGCTCCACAAATGCAGGGTCATCATCGGTCTCGTGGCCTGAGACAGCTTCAAAAAAAGCTGCTGCCACATCCTCGCCCACTAGGTCACGGAAAGGTTTGACCTCCTTCAAATAATGGGTAACCTCTCCAAGCGGCCTGAAGCCACAAAGACCTTCAAAGGGCGTGATTGCAATAGCCATCTCTGGTTTGTGGTTGTCATCGGGGTAGTTCCTCGGATCTCTAGCATGAAGAGTCTCGGCCAACTTCTTGTTCGGATGTGCTTGAATCGAGAGGGCTTTATTGATTGAGAGAACTTTGAATAAAAAGGGAAGTCTTCGTCCGAATTTTGCGGCAATAGTTGGACCCAACAATGCCTGATTGTCTTGGATCAGGTCCAGAAGGTCACGGCCCGTTTCAACATCTTTTGAGGGGTTGGAAATGTGTGTCCCCATCCATAACTGACGCAGTAAGTTAGAAATCGTTCTTTAAGTACAAACTATAAGCCCTCTAGCCCCGACGCCTAAATGCGAATAAATGGAGGAGCAGTAATGGCTTCAAGAAAGAGGAGGACGTGGCAACAACGCATCATACCTCAGCGTATGGTTTATTTGACTCCAATTTGAAGCCAGTTCCTGGTGTTGAAGCAGCATACTTAGCCGCGACCGAGGCGCTTCCCTTTTTTCCCCAATCGTATGAATTCACGCCGCATTGCAGTTGGAAGAGGGGAACACGCATTTTGAAGCGCAGAAAGGAATTTACTGTGGTCAAGGAGGTGCCGTTAAGACTCAAAAAGATTGAAATTAACAAAGGAGAGAGAGGCTTGATCGGAGGGGTGAAGCCAAATAGAACCGGTGGCTACAGACAGGAATGCGGGGCAAAGTATGAAGTAGGCAGGCGGTTTCACGCCATCGCAAAGGCGCTTTTTACTGTACGACGTAAGTACATTGTATAGAGGTACTCCGTACTCCGTACTCCGTAGGAGATCTCTTAATACCACTTCCTTGACTAGAATCTGCATATGGAGCAAGCTCTTCCTTGTTCAGAAGCTAGCTAATAGTAATTTGCCATTTCTTGAATGGAGTACGAAAATGGGTTCGAATTGCCTGGCAATCCATACGGAGTACTCCGTAATATCAAAGCTACGTACCTTATCTTACGAGTAGTGGGGAAGCTCCAAGATAATATCACCAAAATGGGTCTTGTGATGAGTCACGTGTAGCATCATATTAAAGCGTATCTACCAATTGGCCCCTGACTAGTACAAAACGAGCTGATGGACTACGGAGTACATGATAATATCTCTGCTAACCCGGAGTGGTTTGTCTAGATATAGTTTTCCTTTCTTTGTCCTGTCCCAAACAGCAGTAATACGCATATGCAACTATACACTCTTGCACTTAACCATCCCAATGTGCTAGACCCACTTCTGCCCCTTTCAATTAACTACACCAACAAATCATAACTAAAGTTGCACATGGACAACAATCAAGCTCTTATTTCCTAGCTACGGCATTCGAAACCAGAACGCAAGATGGGTGGCCAAATCTCGAAAATGATGGGCAAGATCTTCGGGTCTAAGGAGATGCGCCTGTTGATGCTCGGACTTGATGCTGCTGGCAAAACCACGATTCTCTACAAACTGAAACTTGGCCAGGATGTGACGACAATTCCCACTGTTGGCTTCAATGTCGAAACTGTCACATACAAGAATGTCAAGTTCAATGTCTGGGATGTGGGTGGGCAAGATAAAATACGGCCGCTGTGGAGGCATTACTTCAGTGGTGAGAACGCGCATCTTCAAGTCGTGATAACTATTGCTATCCTGTATGCTAAATTGTTTTGCTTTTACAGGTACACAAGGTCTGATATTTGTTGTCGACTCCTCCGACCGTGTACGAATGGACGAAGCAAGACAAGAACTGCACCGCATCATCAACGATCGCGAAATGAAGGACAGTTTACTTTTAGTATTCGCGAATAAGCAAGACCTCGAAAATTGTTGTTACTACCCGTTTTCCGCCCAATCATTTATTCTCACTCAAGATCACTGACTCTTAGCCGTCCTCTACAGCAATGAAGCCACAAGACGTGACCGAGGCTCTTCAGCTTTCCAAACTAAAGGACAAAATCTGGTATGTGGTGCCTAGCTGCGCCACGACCGGCGAGGGCCTCCTGGAGGGCTTGGCTTGGTTATCAAACAATGTCAAAGTTCCCCTTCCTCCCGTGAAGAAGTGACACTGCTTCAAGTCAAGTACAACCATTACCCTTCACATATATGCGCTCGTAATCTCTTTCCTTGTGTTGTCTGATTTGTCTTTTTCTTTCTTTCTTTAGGAAACCATGTTATCATTAGTTGTCGTTACAGATTGACGTCAGAGGCTTTTATTCCGCCTGTTTTTTTTCTCCCGCGCCCTCTCCTTTTTACAATACCTCAGATGGAATAGGAATACCCAGAATGCGAGATTTGTCTAATATTAAAGAGACGTCTATTCTACCATTTTAACTGGGATTCGTCTGCATGCCCATTGGTCCTGAAACTAAGCGAGAAGTCCTGATAGGAAAAGCCAATAAGCCAAAAAAAAAAAAATTTGAAATGCGCGAAAAAGCACGCTTGGGCCTGCGCCATCAACAAATTCGGTGTAGACTAGACAAGTCTTATTCCTTTATCCTCTTGCTTGCTCGGACGATGGAATCGTCAGGAAGTCCGCCTCTCTTCGTCCCCGGAAGACTACTGGTTCTTATGTCGTTGTCATCTTGACTAACTCTCCGGTTGGGATATTCCATCCTCAGCCCCTCAAAACAGTTGCTAGTTAGTATATCACCGGTAGAAAAGAATGGGTGCGACAACGCTTGTTCAGCCGTCAAGCGTTTCTCTGGGTCATACTCTAGCAATCCAGAAAGAAGTTTGTAGCCCTCGACACCAAGGCTTGCAGACCCAGTACTTCCTATAGCATTGTGGTGTGCCGGGGATGATGTTTGTCCGTGGCCGATAGTGCTGTAGTACCACTTCTCAAGGTTGCTAGTATTCTGGATCGGCAGTGGGGAAGAAACGTGGTGATGGTGGCTGTGGTGATGCCGGTGTTGGTTGCCGAGAGGCGATTGCAATGTACTAAGTTGCTGGTATTCTGGCATGTTGACAAGCAATGGCCATCTTTCTTTCGTTGGCAGCCCCATGATGTCCACAATTTTTTGCATTTGGTTTCTTTGAAAGGGAACGGTTTTCTTAGAATCCATCTTCGCTTCTTCTCCTTTAAAGATTGGCCGCAGCGAGAGCAACTCTGCAAAAATACAACCAACGGCCCACATGTCGATTGCAGGAGTGTAATGTCGTGAGCCAAGAAGGAGTTCGGGAGCCCGATACCAAATAGTAACGACAACCTTGTCACCCGAAAAAAGGGAATGCAAAGGTTTGTAGAAGAGACGAGCAAGGCCGAGATCACCAATTTTAACCTGCCCGCCGGAAGTGACCATGATGTTGGCTGGTTTCAGATCCCGATGGAGAACCCAATTAGTGTGGAGGTATTGGCAGCCATTCAGTAACTGAAACATGATACTCTTAATCGAAGTAGATGGGATTGGATGTCGAGGTTGCTGGGTGTGGTGGTGGATAATTTGAAGTAAGTCGTGTTCAGCGAACTCAAACACCATGAATATGCACTTGTCCTCCAAAATTATTTCAACAAGGCGAATCACATTTGTGTGAGATAATTCAGTGCAAAGCGCCATTTCACGAACTGCTGATTGGCTGATTCCAGTGTAAGCAATCTGCTCGCCTTCTTTGTCGGGCTTGAATTTCTTTATTGCAAATTCGCCCTGCTGTCCTTGGCGTCCCACAGCCTTGTACACACGTCCATACGTGCCGCTGCTAATAAACCCAATGACACGATACTTATCAGTCACCCGGACTCTGCTCTGATAGCCCATGTGGCCGACGCCACGGTCCGTCAAGTCTTAGAGCAATTAGTTTTAGTTGGAAGATATCTCAGAAGAAGTTCCACAGCGGGCGAAATAATGCTTTAGTTCTACTTAAACATATCCAGAAGTCAGTCAATTTGGCAGCAACTAACCTTCGAAAGAAGCCTGGACGCTTCGTTTAAATCCTTGTGTACGCGCTGTTGAGCTTGATGCAGGCCCAGAAGCTCCAGATGGTGGATTTGTAAGGCTCATCTGTTTCCCTAACAAGTATTTGAGACCCTCAAACCTCGTTTTTAGCGTCTGTAATATACAAAGGTTAAAGTATGTAATAAACGTGAAATAAACAAAATGCACGAACTGTTAGCTTTCGCAACGTCGGGACCGGGGAAACTGAGTCTCCGATAGCGATCGGAGACCCGCAATTAAAACACACAGGTACGGAATACGGAGTGAAATTAAATCCTTGGCAAGTATTCCGTAATCCCCTTCGAGTTGCCATTAACATAGTATTACTCTAACTCATGTATAGAGTACTGTATGTACAACTAATCTCATCAGCATAGACGTGCAAAGCCTTCGCTACTTTCCTAATAATAATAAAATAACGGAGTTTATCAGTTCATTTGTTTACCTAGTTCTCTTTAGGGTGCGCTTAGCCTCCCAGTTGCTACGGGTCCAGGTGTCCGTCCGTCTCTGCTGTATTAAACAAAAGAACTATCTAGGCCCAAGCTTCTCTAGCACATGGGGACCTTGCTCCTCCCATTCCTGCTTCGTCACCCACATCGACTCTTTGTCTGCCATAATGTTTGCCAAGACCGCGCCACCAAGGAAAACCATATGTCTCCGACGAGGGGGATCTTCTATGCGCACTTTGAATTTGCTCAGCCGTTCTGGGTTTCCACCCAAAACCCTCGTCAGCCACAGTTGTTTCAGCTCTTTCTCGAGCCGGGACGGCAAGCCAGGGTACATGCTACTTCCGCCCGACAACACGATTGCCTTGTACAAGGATGAGCGTACATCAACGTCAGCTTGCTGGATCGTGTTAAAAAGAAACTCTGCGATACCAGGCTGTTCACAGTCCACCAGGTGCGGCTGGAAAAGACATTCAGGCGCCTCAAATCTCTCGCTGCCAACGCGGATCACTCGACCGTCCGGTAACGTGTAGCTTTCGACCAACACAGTGGTCTCTTCGCTAAGACGTTTATCTAGCTCGAGATCGTAGGAAACGTAGCACAATTTCTCCTTTATCTGGCGCACGGTTTCAAAATCGGCCGTTCGGTTTAAAGCATATCCACGTCGTAAGAGAAGAGCGATTAGGTTTTGGGTAACGTCTCGACCTGCAACATCAAGACGCCTGGTAAGATGGTTTAGGACAACTGATTCGTACACGGGAACAATATGTGTGACACCATCACCAGAGTCAACCACCACACCCGACGAAAGGCCTAGATTAAGAGTGTCAATTTTCAGGAGAAAAAATTATTATTAGGGGTTTCGGCAGTCTTAACGGTACTCACCCTGCGCATATAAGGCAAGCACAGCTTGAATGGCCACATAGACCCCACCGAACCCGTAACGTTCAAACATTACTTCACACATTTGCTCGCGATTCTTCAGGGGGTTCATCGGTGGCTCGGTCAAGAGAATTTTGCGTCCATTTGTGTCGACCTTCATCTTCTCATAAAACGTATAGTCCCAGAGGTGCTGCATGTCATCCCATTTTTTCACGATGCCGTTCTCCATCGGGTAGCTTATTTGAAGCATGGTACGAGCAGCTGCAGCTTCATCGCCACACATGATATCCTTGATGACAAGATCATTGTCGCCTTTCTCTTCGGTTCGTAAGATCGGTCGGCCAACGATAGAGGGATACTGAAATTCAGGGAAGTTCTGTGCAGCGTAACCGACTTTCAAAAAGCCGGTGCCGCCATCGAGAACTAAGGGGTTCCGAGAATATCAGCAGCTAGAGAGATAAACAAGGAGAGAATTCAAGGCCATGCATGATGTGCAGTTCCTTTGTTGTACCGTACCAATAGGTGGTGGTGCCGCCATAATTCAAGATGCTCGAATTTTGATGGTAGATATTACCCGTTGGTGCAAATGATGGATGCATGCAGAATGCTAACGTTGAAATCCATCGGTGGAATTGTACGGAGTATATTCGCAGTAACGTATCGTATCGTAATATAGAGCACGTGACATTAAACCCCCACTATGGTCTAGTGAAACAGCAAAGTCAAACTACGCGTAGGTCGTCGCAATCCCCCCCAACTTCAAAAGTTTTTAGAAAACCAATTATGGCTATGCGTATATTGGTTCTAAACCCGAACTCGTCTCACGAGATGACACGCGGGATTACGGAAACCCTAAAGAACCTCAGCTTACCTAGTGTGAGTCTTCCTGGTTCTTGTATGGAAGAGAGTGAGATGGAGTTTGCAACACATATGCTGAAAGTGTAGTCTCTTGAATATAATTTATACACTGCGTCGGCCGATAGCCCCGCAAGTATCGATGATGCTGACGGCCTAACTAAAAGCACCACTGCTGTCCTGTCAGAAGTTGGCAACCGCCTGGATACCACGGACTACGATGGTGTTCTTGTGGCATGCTACAGCGTCCACCCATTGGTGACGAAGCTTCGTGAGCACATCAGTGAAAATATCATTGTGCTTGGGATATTTGAATCGAGCATCTTGACTTCTCTTGCTCTCCTACCTCCATATGCTATTCGACACACCTCCTTGCAACCTAAGTGGGGCATAATCACCACAGGCCAGTTTTGGGAAACGCATCTTCACAAGGGTGTTCAAAGCTTTTTAGGACAAGTTTCAGGTTCAGGAAATTCAAAGTTCGCCGGCGTCTATTCTACTGGCCTCGTAGCTAGCGATTTTCACTGCGATATATCTCAGAACGTGATTCATCAAAAACTAAAGGACGCCACCAGACGGCTTCTTGCAAATTCGAATGTCGGCTGTGTTGTAATGGGATGTGCAGGTATGGCCGGTCTAGATTGCATTATCAGAGAAACCGCTATAGAAGAGTACGGTTTCAAGGCTGGGAGCAGTGTTTGCATTGTCGATGGGATCAAAGCCGGCATTGGACTCCTGGAACAAACTATCAAGGCTAGGCGTATTTTCCAGTGTTGACGATATCAGACGTCCAGAATTTCACGAATTTTATAGAGAAAATGTGCTAATCATTAAAATAAACCTTTAAGCCAGGGATAAAGGATCCAGCAATGTCCGTAATCACTGCCACCCATTAAGGTGACATAATAGGGCGAGAAGCACGCTAATTTAGAGGGAAAGGGAAATGTCCGACTTAGTCAATATGCCTCCCTCTCCCCCATACTTCATCAGCGTCCTTCTTACCGTTCGTCTCGGGAACATAGAAGAAGACAAATAGTGCTGACATGACGGCAAAAGTGGAAAACAGAAAATATACCCAGCCGGCACCACCAAAGTAAGTATTCAACGCCGTGTTGACGAGTGGAAAGAACTGAGCGACGAGGAAAGTAGCCACGTAGTTCGCACCCAATGCCCAAGATTGGGTGGCACCAACAGCTTCAGGACCGACCAATTCCGATGCCAAGATGAAGGGCACCGGTCCCAGACCAACAGCGAAGAAGGCAACAAAAGCAAGGACAGAAATGGCAGACAAAAGCTTAACTTCAAACACGATGGATAGCGCTAGAGCAAGTGCGCTCGTGCCCTGGCCAACGATAGACATGAGGATGCAAGTTTTACGACCATATCGGTCGGGAAGCGGGGCACATGATACAGTCGTAATGAGGTTGACAGCAGAGATGATAACAGTGAGGAGAGCGGAGCTCAGAGGGAGTATACCCCTTAAAAGTGAAACGGAATACATTATGACAGAGTTGATGCCGCAGGTCTGTTGAGCAAACATAACTCCTATGACAGAAACGATGGCAGGGCGGTAAATCGGATCTCGAAGAACCTGTATAAATCCCACTGTGGCTCGAGATTTGCTGCTGCTTCCTGCCGTCTTTGGAGCCGCGGCAACGATTTCGGTGGCATCGTGGTCTAGTAAGCCCTGCTCCTCTGCAGGCTGGGAGTCTATCGTCCCATTACTCACTTGCCAACTGGCCACTTCGTCGTCCAAATTTGCGTCATTGCCACGTATCCGTTGAAGAATTCTCCTAGCTCGGGTAAAATCGCCCCGATGGGACGCGATCCAGGCAGGACTTTCCGGCAAAAGTAGGAGGCCAATATTGTGAATAAAGGCAACAAGAATTCCCGTTCCAAGAATCCATCTCCAAGCGATTCCGTGGCTGAAAAAATATCCCAGCACTTGAGTGAATAAAATGCCGATGTTGACTGTTATTTGTGTAAATGCTCCAAAAAAACCGCGCGACTTAATGGGTGCCATCTCGCTGATGTATAGAGGTACAATGACCGTTGAAGCTCCTGCACCGATTCCGTTAAAGACTCGACCAACAGCCAAAGTCGGGGCTGATATAGCTAATGTTTCCAATATCGAACCAAGAAGGAAAACAATGGCTGTCATTCGCATGGGAAGAAGTCGGCCGTAATGGCTACTGAGAGGTCCTGCTGCTAGGGCACCAACCAATCCACCGATGGTGAACACAGACGACACAGTCGCAAATGTAGCCTCGCTCATGGGAATACATTGAGTAAGGCCCGAGGTCGCGTGATACTGGTGTGAAGATCGTATGGAAAAGGATCGTAAGGGCGGTCGTGTATCATCGTCGCGGCAGGTGATAACATCTTGTGGTGCATTGAGCTCCGCCTGGTATTACTCGGTCAGCTCGGTCAGCTTCCGTCACGGAGCAGTTCGATAGCAAAATCGAGCTCGCTCGATTTCCCAACATCGGACGAGATCAACGTAAGTTTGGACTTGATACACAGCGGAAGAAAGAAGTGTTCTCACAAGATGATAGCCAAATTGATGTGGTCCTAATGTAGCCACAGTAATCAGGAGCCAGAAGTAGGGTGTCGTCACAGAGACCGACCGCAGAAGTCCGTCCGAGGCCATATCGAAGTGGTCTTGACAACGACAAAGCAGAGGCTAAAAATGGCAATCTGATAAAAATCGGGTAGATGTAAAGCAGTTCAGGCTTTAAACTCCGTAGGCAGGCGGTTATGGCAAGTTAATAAGGTCGCTCGAGCATAAGTGGGGCATAGCCAAGTACGGAGTACAGAATACTTCGTATCTTACTCCGTACATACATATCACATATCAGAATAATTATGTCTCAATACGGAGTACACTTGTTACTACGGTGTAAACGGGTTTGACAAATGACATTCCATGCGCAGTATCGACATCGAACCCTACAAAGAATGAAGAAAACTGAAATGGCTATGAAACCGAGGTCCAATATACCGTCTAACTGTTTTGAGGGCTCCAGTAATCACTGGCTACCACTTTCTTTACCACCGGACTCGACAGCGGCTTGGATAGCTTCTGCTTCTTTCTGCTCCAACGCACCGGGCTCACTTACGTCGACGCCGATTCTCATTGCCTCTGAGGCCTCTGGCAGAGGTCCCACGAACCACCGGTGTGCCCACAAAATCCAACTTCCAATCGCAAATATACCAATAATGCCCACAGCTACGACCGTGTAGTTTAGGGTTTGGCTTGTTACAGGATTTGAAGTGGGCAAGCAGAAGATCACCGTGATGAATGCAATCCATCCACACGCAACGAAAGCCACTGGACGGCTGAAGATCCCAAGGTTAAACGGGCCCTTCATAGCGACGAAAGAACTGTGCCAAATCAGACCGATCATGATCGGTAAACCATAGCTGATGTACAGTCCAATGGTGGCAATGGATGTAGCAGCAGAGAAGGCAACAGACGATCCCAGAGAAGGGAGGGCCAGAATAAACGAGAGTGTCGCAGCCAGCCAGACTGCCCTGACTGGTGACCGGAATCGGGCATCCACTTGGTGAAAAAAGGTATGCTAAGTCGCTGATTAGAAACCGGGCAGGGCCGCGTAAGGCTAAACGAGGCCAGTAACTCACAATACCACCGTCACGGGCAAAGGAAAACATCATGCGGCTATTGCTCGTCATGCTAAAGAGGCCACAGTGCCAGACACAAACTATAGACAAATATTAGCATATTGCTTGACGAGGAAGCACGGAACCAATTCCACCAGATGAGCAACTTACTCATGATGAGGCAGAACAGCACAAGAGCTCCCGACTCGCCAAAAATATCGACGAGAATCTGAAGAATAGGCTGGTCATAGGTACTAGACACTGTGCTCTCAAAGTCTTGGATTGAGAAGAGGAAAGACATAAGCACAAAGAAACCGAAAACAGCGCTGAATCCAACACTGGAGACAACCCCAATAGGAGCACTCCAGGAAGCATTTCTGGTCTCTTCACTGAGATGTGCCGATGCATCAAAACCTGCATACGCATATACTTGTATTAGCTGCAGGTGTACTCTGAAGCCACCATCATTTTGACGGGAACTGACCTGTAAGAGTATATTGAGAGAGCAAGGCCCCGCACATAGCAACGTAAGCTGGGCTGGCTCGGATGCTCCAACCGATGCCGTCAAGACCTGTTCCGTCACTAAATGTCTGGAAGACAAATTTTCCCGTTTGGTGTATCGGGGCCTTCGCAAGGACGGCAATGCAAAGGGCAGTGACGCCTACAGAATGCAGAATGATTGAGACATTGTTGAGATATTTGAGCACGTGCACTCCAAACGTATTCACCAGGCCATGAGAGACGAGTATGGCGGCGTAGATTCCGATAGTATGTGACGCCTTCGGGGTGTAATCGGTGTTTTTGACGGTCACTGCTGTGGCAATAAGGCCAGCCAGACCGAAAGAGATTCCCGTGGTCACCGCTACCTGGCCCAGTAGGTTGAACCAGCCCGTAAGCCAGGCAGCAAAGGCAGACCACCGAGGCGGCGCCAATATTGCAGCCCAAAAGTAAGGTCCGCCACTTGTTGGAATAGCAGAGACAACTTCAGCCATAGCAGTGGCAACCGCCATTGTGAAAAACGACACAACGATCCAACCAACAGACATTACTGCGATCGATATGTTAGCATGGTAAGTGCCAGAAACAAGGGGTTGGGGAGGTCAATAAAGCGCACCTCCTGGCCCTCCCACAGTCAAGCCATAAGAAAACAGAGTCGTGATACCAGTAATCACACTCTAGAGTATATATGTTAGAAGCAAGCCAGGCCCATAATCCAATACGAATTTGAAACGCATAAAAAGCAGAGCGGACATACAATAATGGAGAAGGAAACGCCGAAGTTGTGGAGAAGTCCCCAATCACGACGAAGTTCTTGCTTGAAACCAAAACTGGCCAATCGGTCCTCATCTTGTCCATCGACCGCATTGGGAGCTTGGCGCTCCACTTCCATGTTGCTCGCGGAGACAGACTGCGATGGCAATGCTTGTTACAGAAGGAAATGAGCGAAAGACAACCAATGTCCGCCTTCGCGATATGTCGTGGAAGTCCGGCTACCGGGGTGATAGATTGTATGGGAGGAAGCAAGTCAGGGCGAGACAAGACAACAAATGGACATAGGGGGGTACACTCCCTTTTACATGCAAAATATCGAGCAGTGTTGGCAAGGGTGGGTGGATATCGCACGATAAGGTTCAACCTCTATTGCCTTTGCATCTGTTAGATAACAGGTATCACGCGAGAGGGAATTTAAAGGAGAGTCTCTTCTGAATAGGCAATGGTGCATTAGAGATCGCAATGCGCATCTTACGTCGTTAAGTTCTACTCATTTGTAGTTTGGGGTAATAAGCGGCAAATTGCCTGCCGATAATGATGATCAATCTCGTACATATTTTGGCACAGTGTCAGATACCGAGTATGTTAAACCTAATGTCATTCAATTAACGTGGCAAGCAATGTCTTATCATCGCATCGATATGCCCAAAAAGGAAGGTCAGAACAGCTTTACAACGCAATTCAGATTGTAGGAGTGCAAACTGTACGTAATCTCATGGCTTTCAAAAGATAAGATTCGACTTCTCCGTAGAACAGTATAAACGTATCACGTGCGTGCCGATCGTAGATTTATACCGCCTTTTACTGCCGTCGGTTTTCGAGAAAAATTTTGGCGGTCATTTTGCTCAACATTGATGACACGAACTACGGAGCAAATCGTGAAATGTTGATCGATGAAACAACCTCCCGATGCCCTCAGTCATATCCTACGAGCGCACTATGGACGCCAGAAGCCCGGCGATGCTGAAAAAGCGCCCACATGATGGAAACTCAAACTCGCCCAAAGAGCGGAAGAAGGCAAAACACCCGAAAACAGACCAGACCGGATCTGGAGAGGGAAAGAAGAAGAGCAAAAAGATGCGGTTCAGCACAGAAGCGCTGAGGGTCGTGACAGAGGAAACCGGGGTAAACAACACCAGGACTGGATTTACGGAAAAGGTTACAAAAGAGCAAGTACAGACTGGCAGCAAAATCGCCGAAGTACCCAAATTCAGGTTTCCCTTTTTTACGCAGACCATATCTCTATGGGTACCACTATACCCAGTTGGCTTTGACCGGCCAATCTCAAGTGTGGCTGATCAACATCTTTCTGGCCTGCTCAACCATTACTCCCCTATGCTTGGTGGCTATTTATTAGCATACAACAACGTTAACCTTTCGGAGTCATCTGTGTGTGTCGACCCAAACAACCCCCCGACCGACCAGTCACCTGCCGTCTTGACATCTATCGACGAGTATGCAGTTGGCTATGGTTGGATGACTGTGGACGTCGATCTCTTTGTACCGAGCCGAGGTGCGTGGCTTGAAGGCACTGTGATCTTGCAGAACGAGGGCTCGATAGGTGTAAATTGCTGGGAAAAGTTCAATGCCAGCATCGAAGCGTCAAGACTTCCACGTGGGTGGAAGTATGTGGACTGCAACGGTTCTTTGGACAATGGCCACGTGGACAAGGCAGACAACGGGAACAGAGGAGAGGGCGACGAAGAAAAACAAGAAGACGAAAACAAGAACGGGGAGTTGGAAAAAGATAAAGAAGGTCAACAGCCTCTCGCAGCACATATCCAAACGACCGGGCACTGGACAGACGAAACTGGAATGCCGGTGAAGGGAAGCATATCTTTCCGTATAAAAGACTTTGATGTTGGATTGGCCGGTGATAACGGTTATCTGGCTATCGAGGGAACCATGTTGAGGCCGGAGGATGAGTGCCGCTTAATGATGAGCGAGAGGGACAAAAACCGGACGGCCAAGTCAAAGAGAAAGACAAGGCGACTACCGGAGTTTAGCATAACGCAATTCGGGAAGGACGACGAGGAGGAAGATGAGACGAGGAGCTTGGAAATTCTCAAAGAAAATCTCGCAGGAAACAGCTAAGGGCTGAAAGAAGGCGTCTCCTTGTTTTCCAATCGTCGAGTTAGCATGGCTTTTCCAGCTTTGTCCGTCGATATCGGGTTGGCTGCGGAGCACTTGGTTCAGAGCGCGTGACCCAATGAACCCGCATATCTGCGTGTCAAGTAGATGTTGAGCTTTACATTGTAACAATCAGCATCTAGCTGTAGCAAGTCAAAGTATATGGAGCCCAAACCCTCATTATCGGCGCCTTGTGACCAATGGCTGGTTGCCATCATGGCCCCCGTTGCCTCGTCACAAATCCTCAACATCGGTGCGCCTGGTGCCATATTCAGAAATGCCACCGATGCCATCGTCTCTGCCAGCCCGCCTTCAGGCTTGTGGCCTTCTCAATCCTGAACTACTCTGTAATCCAGACCGAGATGTCACGGAGTAAATGTAGAGTAGTGTTTCTGTACTAGTCGGTAATATTGCAAGCCACGCCGATGTGATAGGGTTTTATACGCGCGAGAAACCAGACACCGTTACCTCTTGCCTTGGACGCGGTACTTTTTAGTAGCAGATCAAGCTGATCCGGCTGACCAACGAATCTGGCACCGTGTAGCGACTGTTCCCATCCATGTATGCCACCAACAGTGAGCACAATCCCAAAAGCGCCACGGAAAGAACTCATCAGGATTAATTTGCCCTCTCGAATTTCATTGGGATGCAAGTCAACCCCTTTGAAGTCGCATCTCGTCATCACAGCCCTTTGTAATGAAATCTGGGTCAGCACCCAGTCAAAAAGATGCCTTTAATATGGTGAAGAAACAACTATCCTTCGTCGGTGAGAGAAACAAAAAACTAGACTTGCACAATGCTGGAGCGATCGCAAAAAATTACGGTCCCTTGCTTGTTTTGAGCTCGATTCCGGAACGTGTGTGCTTTATATTTCTTTCGGCTTTGCAGTGTTGGCAAACTCCTTGTTGTCTCACTTCGGCGGTTTGCAGAACCATCTGATGCCGCACTCAAGATTGAGTCATTTGTGGCAACTTAAAGTGCAATTCCGGCAGATTATGATAGGCAGGCAAGAGAAGGCTGGGAATTTTCAAACGCTACTGGGCCTAGAAGATAATATGGACTTGAAATTGTTGTCCGAGGGAAATGCAAAGGCTACGGGCGCAACACTTTACTGGGCTGAAGGAGGAACACTCTGCAAACTGAGGATGGCAACGATTTGCTAGGGCTTTAAGCGAAACAATCAGATAGTCTGAAAAGCAACAAACAGTGAGTCTGGTTCTTTCGAGAGCATGAGCTTAAGCCTAGAGTGAGCGTGTCTCCCAAGGATTCTTTATGCGTCACTACGAGAGCCTTGGCCCGGACATAACAACCGAGAGCAGACATAACTGCAATTTTGGGCAGCGAAAAGCTCCTATCCCGAAACTCCCAAGCAAATCGACATACGATTCTCGGAGGACACCAATGTTGGGCTAAAGAAGTTGGGCGGTCACAAGTAAGTATGCCCAGGAGCATTGTCCGCTATGCGTATGCATATAATATATATAAACCAGCTTGAATTACTATGTTATGCAGTCCGAGCCTTCTGCGCCAATGTTAAACAAAGAAACCCAAGCAGCGACGGCTTGGGCCTGGGCTAAATATATAGGCATGTATTTGTCTCCCCTTTCAGACAGCACCAAGGTGCTTAGCTGTTAACTCACAAGCAATTTGAATCGGAGCATTGCTCCATGCTAAAACAGACTTGCAAAAACAAAATGAAACACAGCTGACTCAATACAGCTCCACAAACCACAGCATTGCGAAGGTAACAAAAACACATGGGGAAAGACAACAATGGAAGTGACAGAATCTCCAAGCCTCAGGGCACTCAAACCCATCCGCTCAACGCGAACGTTGACTTCGTACCTGAAGATCTGTGAAGAAGATCGGGTCTACCTTTCTTCTCCAAATCCCAAGCTAGCGTGATGAGAGATCACAGCCATGAGTCGCATAATCGTAAAGACGTTAAACTGAAGAGTAGACTTGATGATTGAAGTTGTGGGGAGATGCACCTAAGCAGCAGCACATCTCCGTTTCTCTGCGTTTGAGAGAACAAGCCTTGAGGGCTTCCGCTGGCTATCAGACTCCGACGCAGGAGCTGCTGATTTGAATACCGAAGCAAAGCTGCCACTTGGAGGCTCGCTAGGGCTGTTCGGCGAGTCAGCGCTGTTCCGAAATTTTTCTCTGGAGCCTGGGCGCTCAGAGCCAATGGCGCCCCAACTGCCAGTTGAAGTTCTGGAGCTAGGCAGTGAGCACTCGACATCATCTCCGTTGAGGCTGCCAGAGCCACTGCGACCGGAAACGGATTCGTCATCTGTCAATACAATAGCAAGCTCCTCTGCGCTTTCTGAGATAGGACTGATGCTGCCAGAGCTTCCACTGACAGTCACCTGTCGACGCGTTATACCAGCACGCATGAGGTTGCGTACAGCAGAACGCCGCGTGCGTGCAGCGAAGTTTTTGCTTCCTTCATCCTTCGCTGTGGGCTTCCTGGCCAGCTCATCGAAGTTTGGAGGGCCCCTTGGCTGCCGAATCGGGTGTTCTCCAGCACGGCCCTGGCCCGGCCCATAGGTACCGGTTTGCACACTCGTCGGGAAACTTGTGCTTTTTGGTCCCGCAGACTTTGGCGCTTCGTGGTTTAAGGTCACAGACCCTGTGTTGATGCTTGCCAGATTGCTTCCAACAAGGGAGACGGCTTTCTTATGGCCGCGGCGAAAGGCATTTGCACTTGGAGGAGGGAGCGGCGCGTGTTGCTCCGGTGTCGAGGCATGTTGCCGAGGTGGGGATTGGTTGCGAAAATTGCCGTTATGCGTCTCAGAAGGCGGTGGTGAGACATGTACACGAGGCGCAGCAGCAGGTGATGCTTGGCGATGCTGGGTAGTTTGTTGCTGTTGCAGCTGCTGCTGGATGAGCTGAAGTTGTTGAAGCTGTTGCAAATTGGTGTTGTATTGGTCAACGAAATGGTTGTTCAGCTGGGAAGCCCCTTGACCAACATAGAGCGTTTGTTGACCTGTCAGTGGATCAACAACAGCATAGACATTGTTCACAGTCGACAGGCCAGATGCTAGCATCTGTTGTTGCTGCTGCTGCTGATATAGTAAGTGCTGGTATCCAGAGGGCTGCATCGCCTGATGTGTGTTGCCAATGCTCATGTTCTGAAACTGTTGCTGCGCTGCTTGTACCGACATCAGTTGCTGCTGCAGCCGCTGCTTTTGCGCAGCGAGATACATGTTGGTCGCGACAAGCTCTGCATATTCAACTCCTAGGGTCGACGCATCTTGCTCATCAAGCTGAATCTCTGGAGGAGCTAGGATTTGTTCAGCGGTATATTGTTGTCCGTATGTGCTGTGTTGGTTGTACGTTTGTCCTTGAGGAAATCTAGGAAGGGAGGTTTTCGGGCCATTCGACACCCCGTCATGGCTGTAGGAACTAGAGGTCGTAGGAATCCGAGAAAATCGGGTCGTAGGGGCAGCAGCCGTCGGTGACGAAGGAAATGTACCTGCAGTAGCTGACTTCGGAGCAGTTCTAAGACCGGCCAAAAGATGAGACCGACTTGTTCGAGGAGTTGCGGCTCCTGCCTCCTTTTCGCTGCCCGGTGCAAGAATTTCAAAGGAAAGTGGCTTTATGTTTTGGCCACCTCGGCGCGAAGCAAGGCCGCCCAAATTAGGGATGGTTGGACCGTCGGACCCACTGAATGTTGACGATTGCATTTGAGCGAGACTGCCTGCGTCCATTGCTCGGGATGGGTAACCGGATGGTGATAAAAGTGGGAATTGACGAAGCCTGTCGAAAACGAAGGTGCGAATCCTAAGACAAAAGCTAGGATCGAGCGGGTGAAGTAAAGAAAACGTAAGAAGCAGACAAAACAATGACAACTTTGCAATGGCCGATGTTGAAATTAAAGGGCCTTTTGGGGGGAAAGGGGTATCCGGGAATTAACGGTGCCTGCGTTTTGCTTGGAGGGAAGTCTTTAAAACGTTCTGGATGACGATTTCGATGTGAAAGAAGCAGGCCAAGGTTTTGAAAAGTATAAAATAAATAGAATGAAAGCCACTGGCCGTGTACAAAATATGTTTTGAGGACACGAGACACACGAACAAAAAATTCTCGTTGAGAGCTTATGATAATGCTCCGTGTGAGGACTCGGAGGGACTCGATGAGGCCAGGATAGTTGTAGGTATCGGAGTTTGCTCGTGGAGCGAGGCGTGAAGTCCTGGAAATGTCGCTCGAGTTTCTAATATTCGAGGTGTGGTTCACCGTAAGGTGCAATGGTGTCGACGGAATGAACCAGCGAGAAAAGAATGGACGATGCGCTGGATATGGATGATGCGCCGCAAATCTGCTACGTGTTTCAAAGGTGATGAGAGCCTCCCAGAACGGTCTCAGTGAGGGTAATAAAAATTAAAGGAGATGCCTTGGTGAAATGAATTGGTGAATTTGGGTAGAGCCGGTTCGAGAGAGAAAACACGAAATTCTTTGCGATTCGATGTAGGTCCAGTGTAATTAGAAGCTGTGCTGCCGTTTCTTCAAGTGAAGGAGAAGAGGGACCGTCAAAAATAGGACGAGCGAAACGGAAATGAAGGAGGAGAGGGGAGGGGAGAGTTAGGAACAAACTGTCAATGTTGAAGAGCGAGGAAGAAAAGAAATCGCGAAGAAAAGGAGAAGCGAAACGGAAACAGAAGAAAGAAGGGGCAAAAATGGGCAGGAGACATGAAGTGGGGAACCATGATTGGGCGGTTGCAAATGGCGCGGTGGCTTGAGTGGAGCAAACATGTTGGGTGTTTTTATAACGAGAACGCGAGGCGTCTCGAGTATACCGTCAGTACTATTTACAAAAAAGGTACATAATTTGCCATACAATACGACAATAGAGGTAGCGATGCGAATAGGAGGGCGTTTTACTCGAGGCAGGTAGTGGTATTGTACTCCGTGCTCGTACTGTACATGTAGCTCGTTCATTGGGTGGTCAGACTTGCCGCTATATTGTATCAACCAATGGTAGAAGAAAAAACCAGGGGGTAGTGGATGCGGAGAATAGGGGCGCTGTGGCAGATGAAACGCGATACGCCAACCCAGAGTAGTTCTGTATCCTTACCAGCTCGTACCTCGGGGCGCTGGCAGTCACGGGAACAGAACGATGACAGTTTTGTGTATGAGTACTCCGTACGGAGTACTCCGTACGAAGTATCGTACAATGTAAGATACGGAGTATTTGTAGGGTAAGATACAACTCAGCACATAACGGAAGTATTCTACGCTCTTTGTAAGCGCTGTGAGACATCTTGGGCCAAGCTAGGCCAATCAGCTCGGGCATTCAGTATCTTACAATTTCTTTGAAGCTGGCAAAATTGGTCGCAAGATTGCTTAGTATCGAGAAGTACTGAGTATGCTGCAGAAACTCGTATATTACATCTCTACATCACCCTTTCCCTCTATGGGGCAGTGCGACAGGACAAGCCCGGACGAATTGCTAGATTGGGTACGGCCATGGTCGCGTAGTAAAAGATTGACGGTCCAGATTCACGGATTGGGAAGCAGTATAAATATGTGTTGATGCCAAAGCCACGGGCACCGCACTATGCGAAGCCAGACGTTATGCTTTGAAGTCACGCTTTGAAGTCACGCTACAAAGGGAGACCAGCTCTCAGGAAGCAGGGAGGCTTGAGGAATCCCCGTGGCGCCAATTCAATACCCTCATTTCATTTTCCCTAGGCTCACTGTAGCCTTGTGCTGTTACGGAGCTATGGTGAGCTAGACAGGTGCGCGTAATCAATCCGCATTCGACTTCGTTCGAGTTTGATTTGGGAAATGCTAATAATATAGTCCGTCGTGAGCTTAAAATATCAGATCTCGCCAATGCGCCTTGCCTACCATACCGTATCCTGCCTTTCGCATTAAGGCACCCGAACCGCAGTCCACGCTTTTGCCCCCTATCATACTTTCTACTGCAAATCTTTTGGCGCTCCCGTTCCTGCAAAATAGCGACTACCACCCTCAGCAGCTAGACATGCCAAACATACACCACCGCCGTATACCCGTGTGTGTCGTTTCCAGCCAGCTCCCTGGTCATCCAGCGTCGAGATGATTTCACCTTGAAGCCCTATTTCTCTGCCCATGTCTTCATTCGGCGATGCGGGCGTACTCCGTTGCCGTGACTTAGCCGGAGGCTGGTGTAGAGTAGAAGCGTACACGTCTGCTAAATCGTCGTGTTCACGTTCTACCAGCATCGGCTGATTTTGAGAAGGCACTGCTGAAGCAGGCGCCGCGGAGATTCCGACAACTACAAGTTTTGTGTAATTTCGCCTGCGAGGGGGGAGGGGTATCAAGGCAGAAGTTGTGGCATCGAGACCTTCGAGTTCTGCTGTGTAGTCGGGGTTTGGCTGGTGGATGAAAGAGACGTCTGATGAACTATCCAACTTGCCTACCCGAAAAGCATCATGATCAAACTGGACTTCCTCGAGCGGATATGACGCTGCCAGAGAAGGTGGCGTTAAAGGTGGCGGGGGTGGCAGATACCGACCGAGCCGCCGCCCAGCACCACCTGATCGACAATCTAGTTCCGAGTGAGGTGAAGTAGGTAGGGGAGGCAACGATGCGCTGCGACTGCCTGTGAGGCTTGTGGACGGAGCGCCTACGCGAATAAGCGGCTTCTCGAAGGCAGACGTCTCGATATCGATAATGATATCATCCATTGCCACGCCTGTCGGTTCCAATTTTGGAACTTGCCGTTGGTGTTGTAGGACCGAGAAACTTGTTCCAGCTGCGTGTGCGGCAAGTTTTTCTGAAGGGTGGCTGTTCCAACGTAGGCTATGCCTTTGAAGGTGAGAGACACAAAACCGAGAGGCGAGTGCAATTTGTACTGCTATGAAGACAGCTGATATAGCCAATAATAAAAGGCAATAGCCATGCGTCGTGAATCTTTTTTCGAAAAGGCTGGGGGTGGTTGCGGTATTGCTGTCCGTTGGCAGTGGCGGCGGCTGTGGCGGGATGGTGAGAAACATTGCTGCTACTTATGGTAGGATGCTCAGAAGCAAGCGCTTACTGCCTCCTCATATGGCAGGGGTAGGACGGGTAGGACTGGTTAGGAGTTGCTCAAGGGTAGGAGGCTGGATTCATAGGCGTGGATAGCGACTGGTCGTGAATAGGAAGTCGGGTGCAGCCAGTGCAGGTCAATGGCAAGCAGTTGGATGGGGGGGGGGGGGTATGTGTGGATGTGATGAAGGCGTCGTGGAGACGTTGATCAGCTGTCAGCAGGATAGGCAAACTTATATGGTGACGAAAACGAAGGCCGGAGATAGAGCCTTCGCATGCTCGTGGTAAAGAACTGTTCAGCTGAGTTGGTTCAGGAGGGCATGGAAATTAGGCAAGACACGAAGACTTATGCTAACTACATAAAGCGATCGCGTTTGATGAAATATACACTGTGGTTTCCTGTCTTTTGAGCTCGCTAATAATGAGCGGCCCTTTGTTTTGTGACGATGCTAAGCTTGCGCCGTACTTCAGAAAACGCAGATCAGCGAACCAATATTGATCTGGCCATTCTCCGCAAAAGTTGGCTCTTCGTATGAGAGGCGGTAGCAATCAAAACGATCTGGGTGGAGCAATGCGCCATTCAGCTGAGTATTCGTTAACGGCATCGTGGCGACGTTTCGGGTTCGAATGATATTTGCTCATCTTTCTTTCTTCCTTCGGCTTACTTTTCCCGGGATAGACAGCTGAATGTGCGCTCAACGGTGCTGAATGATATAAATGGACCACTCACAGTGGCAAACTATGTTTTTTAGCGTGAAGCAAAGTTCAGCTGAGATTTTTTTAGGGTGGGACGATGCTCGCCGATCCCGTGGCCAGCAAACATTCCAAAATCACCGAAAATGAGCATTTTTACACGGCAAATAAAGAATCGCTGGCTGAGTAGACGAAGGGCACCGGATTCGCATTGCTTCGGTGAAACTGCATAAATATGGTGGGCAGCTTGGGTGCCTCACGCGGGTTGGTCGGTGACTCCGCCACGCCTCTTTGCCGCCCCTTGTATGCCGAGGTTACGCTAAATTCATGCGACAGCATACTCCGTACTCCGTACTCGTGGACCATTTTGCACACAACATCATCGTATTCGTCACTGTACAAATAGTTCGACCGAATTGCAGCACTGACTCAAACATCCGCTCCAGCCCCCTGTCTTTATATAGCGACGATTTCCATCGGCTCTCTACTGGCGTGTCTGATGCCGTCCGACACCTCCTCCTCCATCATTGCTATCATACCCTCTAGATTCTCTTCGAGACTATCGGCCTCAGGCCCCAAGCAACTCCTGAGTAGCCGGCGGTATTTTTCGATATTGTCGCTTGTGCCGACGGCAGCAAGAGCATCGACGTAGTCACCTTCAGCTTGATGCTGCTCTATAATATGTTGTCGCAGCTCTATTGCGAGCTGTTGGTGTTCATCAACAACGTCACCTGCTCCTGTAATCCCCTGGCCGTCACCCACAAGCCCTGCCAATTCACTGTCCACATCTGACTGCGCCAGAATACGATTGCGTTGACCGACAAGAGATATCAGCTGTTTTTGGGAGAGCTTGGCGTCCTCAGCAAAATCAGCCGCGATCTCATCGGGCTCCATGCGTATTTCGAGATCGGCCATCTCTGCACGCATAGCCAGCAGCTCGCCTTGTGTGCTACCCAGAATGCGCTCTGCCTCCCTCTCAGCTTCCGCTTTGTCCCTGAACTCTTCCTCGTAGCTCTGTGACAGGTCTTTGAATTTCTCAAACACAAGAGGTGTAATTCGTGACTGCACTGTATTGGCTGCCTCTGACTGGTAAGGCGCGCCAGTTTTCCTTTGTAGATCAGCAACCGTGTCGCGAAATGCAAATCGTCGCTGTGAGTCGGGCGCAAAAGGCGACGATGACCGTTGTGGTGGGGCTCTCGATTTCTTGTTGGCGTTGAGTTCCTTGATCATATCTTCTGCCCGCAGCCCACTGTGGTTGGGAATGTCTGTCGATGCTCCGCGGCCGAGAAGGGCACGTATGCACTTGGTTGCATGTTTCATTGCAGCCAGATGCACAGCCGTATTTCCTTCGTTATCCTGTGCATCAATAAGCTGCTGCACAAAGTTTGGGTCATGCGTATCCTGGAGACGGTTTAGAATATTGTCCAGATAGTATCGAGCACAGGATTGGCTGGTGACACGCCCGCTTTTCATTATGGCGGCATGGTGAATAATCGTGCAGCCTGCCTTATCGCGTGCGTCAACGGTCTCGAAGAGTTCCTTGATGATAGCCGGAAACGTCTGTTTCTCAAAACAATTCGTGAAGCTGACAGCACGCATGAACGGCGTTTCACCTCGCTCGTTTTGAACACCCAGACTCGCACCGAAACGCTTCAGTTGTTTGATAACTTCGACATCGCCCATAGCGCACGCCCAGTGCAAGGCTGTGTGGCGCTCTGTATCAATAACCCAATTGGGTTGAAAATTGGTAGGCGGGTCTGGCCGAATGGCAGGCTGCTCATTGCGCGAAAGAAGAAAATAGTCAAGCAATTCATCGCCGTAAACTGAGTGTTGTTGCTCCGTCATGTCTTGGATCATATCTTCTCTTTTTCGCTTCCGTTGTGGTGCCGAAAAGTTGGACATGTCGTAGTCATCTTCAGCGGCATAAGAAACGGACGCAACTGTCAAATTATCCGGAGTATCGTCTTCGTTCATAGCGACATCTGCGCGGTCGAAATCATCTTGCATGGGCGTGGCTGCAGCAGCAGCGGCAGCAGCAGCAGCAGCAGCAGCAGCAGCAGTGGCGGCAGCGGCGGCAGCAGCAGCTAACACAATTAGAATGTAAAACTGTACACAGCCAAAGGTGACATACAGCATACCGTTCCATTTCGGCACAGCAGGACGTGCCCGGGGAGCTTTTGGCTTGCTCGCATGTCGAGGTGCAGGTGGCGGGCTGACGTCGCCCGACACATACTCGAAAATAGGGCGTAGGCGGTCATATACATTGTTCCTATGGGCGAGGGCCTCGCCATGTTCCAGTGGAATCCAGGTACCTATTTTCCTCGGTACCTTTGTCAGCCGTGATGTTTTGAACACTATCCGTGGACTGAGCACACCTTGATATTTTCCATAGCCTCCCTGGATTTTTTCATGAACGTCTTTTTGCACCTCTCGCTCAAGTATTCGCGTTCGTGCAGGCTTATCGAAGCCAGCGGCTTTAAGAATATGTGTGGCATTTATCCAGTCATCATGTCGTCTTCGCATGACATGTTCCTTCAGGTCGGCTCCGAATTGAAATTCGAAAACTGGAATCTATTCGGTTTACATGTCAGCGCCTAGAATTGTCCTCACGAAGCTGCAATCTAAACCGGGTAGCCCATGGCTTTCCGAATATACCTAGGCCACTTACTCCGCTGTACGTGGCACTGTAAATACCCGAGCCATCGGCATCTTTCCCCATTGTGACAACAGAGCTTGTGGTTGGAACCTGTAAGCAGTTTGGAACGATATAACTCGGGGGGTTCGAAGGTCGATGGTTGTTAATTGCCCCTAATCAAACTGCTACTAGGTGTCGGTATATCTCAGTTGAAATCGCATAGCGGGGAAGAATAAAGCCCAATGAGTTCGCGTGCAGTCTTCGATTCAAGTTGAAAGACGTCAGTAGGGTAGATTTACAAGAAAGCGGTGGTCTCTAAGACGTAACGCGTGCAAAATGTCCGCGTCGCGCGAAGATCAATTAAAGTACTTATGGCCTCAGGCAGACTATCCGAAAATCGCGTCGCGCTTATATTAGTCATCAAGCTCTAATGCCGCTGTAAAGTGTGCAATCACATGACCAAAGCGTCACCATGATTGTCTGCCAAAACGGCACCTTATAGCAATATTCTGTCAGTGACATTAAACCTGTATAAAAAGCTAGTACAAGTAAGTATCTAACATTAGGTAAATTAACAAAATATCCCACCTACTTAACCTTATCGGTACCAGCCTGCCAGTACGGGCGCCTCAGCCCCTGCCTATGCCGCCTCTATCTGCGCCGCGATACTGAAACTACCCGGGTCTCCTCCGCTCTCTCCCAGTCCAACAAAGCTATTTTACCTGCTCCTTTGTCTACGCCTTCTGGCCCGCTGGCGGCAGGCCTATAACCTTCCGGTCTCCGCAATCGCCGTAGTCTGACGTGCTGTATTATTACCGAGAGGGGCAGGCCGGCGGCAGCCGCGCTATTCGGCCTAGGCGTAAAAGACTAAATTAGGGGTTTGCGGGAGTCCTATACAGCTTTAGGAGCGAGGGTGGAGGGATGAGGCCGTCGAGCGAAGCCATTTCGTGTTATTTTAGGGACATTCGCGATGCCAGCGCAGCTGCGCACGGCCATGTGAACTGTCCTGATTTTAGTAGTTGCTGTCCTTTGACTGCTGAAGGGTTACGCGACGTGTGTACTTAGAATTTGGACGTGTTTCTGCCAATCACTTATTACCCTTTTTCCGTATTATGCGAAGTAACGACCCTGGTCTAACTACTTGTACAGGATGCAGTTTCCTTTGCCCAACCGTCGTACTGTACGGAGTACGAAGTACTTGCAACAGAAACAGGGTATAACAGCAGTGGGCTACTTTATTGCTACCGTGGACACTTGGCATCAATGAAAATTTGTCCATTCGCAACTTGCATTCTGCAATATTCGACCTTATACAGAAATTTAGGCAGCAGCGGCATTATACCCGGCCGTATAATTTGATGGGCAACTGTGCAAGCGTACAGCTAATGCTCAGAATTCATGAAGATGATATTGCACTGTGAGGAGCAGGAGGCTGAGTTGGGTAAGGTGTGAGCAAATTTATGTATGTACTGTGGATTTCCCCGAGGTCACCTGACTTGACTTCGGCCGCCGAAATTACTAGATAAGACGAAGCCCTGATCTGCGCGCATACTGCTGTGGCTTCTACTCCGTGCACCACTAGTCTGTCACGCACGTTCTGCGTGATCACCAGTGTAAGACCCGTACGGTAATCCTTGTGGGATATTCGTCCGGACCAGTTGCACGTATCGTAGTAAGCTCTAAGGCCTTTAGAAGATCTAGTGATGATATTTCGTTCGGTGGTTGACTGATTGAAGACTAGACTGTGCGCAGTATGCGCGCAGATTAGGGCTTCGTCTTATCTAGTAATTTTGGCGGCCGAGGTTAAGTTAGGTAACCTTAGGGAAATCTACACGCCCTCTTCTTAAACGAAATTGTCTTTGATTTCTCTATATTATATATAAAAAGGTACTTCTAAAACAGTGTAATTTGCTAGCAATTTAGAGTACCAGCTAAGTTACTTGCGTGTTTAGCTAGGAGGGGCAGGAAGATAATAATAAGGGTAGTAAAAAATAAAATAAGGAAAAGTATAAAAAATTGTTACTTATAAGCTAGCTTTCTAGCTTTAGCGTCTTTAGTTAGCTTCTAGCATTGTTTTTAAGCTGTACTAGAGGCTTAGGATAGGTTTATAATCCTAGATATACGCTAGGAAGACGTTATTAGGATGCTATAGATTTAAGAGTCTAGTGCTATTAAGTGTATAAAGCTTAAGGCGGCTGTTTAAAAGCACCTAGGTTACTTAGAGCGGTTCTTTGTAAAAAGGCTTATACTTATACTTTTAAAGTTAGGCCTAAAGCACCTAGTCTTTAATACTAAAGTAATAAGAGGCAGCTTTATTAGCTTATAAAAGGCCTTATATATCTATATAAACGTGCTTTATAAAGGCTAGCTAATCTTAAATACTACTAAGGTCTATTAGATTATAGGCCTGCTGTTTAGCTACTTCCGCCTCTTTTATATAAGTAAGCTCCTATATATACTACGCGTGCATTGCGTGCATAAAAGGCTAGCAGCTAAAGGTTAGGAAGTATAGGCTATAGCCGTACTCTATAAAGCGGTAGCGGTATATTAGAATTACTATACTAACTAGGTTTAAGATTATAACGCTTAGGTAGTTTACATTAGCAAGTATAGTATGCCTTTTAAGGATTAGTAAAAGCGTTTAATCCGCTTATTACTTTGCAGCTAGTATAGGGCTATTAGCAAAAGAGCAATACTTAGCTGCTTATAGCAAGCACTATATGCTCTAGTCTTTAAAAAGGTAGTGCTGTTATATATAGTTAGCTATAAGCCTATTACTATAATCTTTTTTAAGGCTTTATAACGCTAGATTATTATCTTTAATAGCGCTAGAGCCTTTATTATAAAAGGTAATATATATAGCCGTACCTTTAGCTAACCAGTTGCATAATTAATAGTAGTAGCTAGGTAGATTAAGGTCTTTCTCTCCTAGGCTAAAGGGCTAGTAAAGTTGACTCTTTACTAGGAAAATAAGGCTGCTAAAGGCGTTAGCTTTAACGTAGCTTTTAGATTTAGCTAGGTCTTATTAATCTAATAGCTTACGCATATTAAACTTACTTAACTAGTTAATACTAAGAGATATAGATGCTAGTAGCAGCTATTAGCTATTTTAAGAAGCATACTAGCGCTATAGTAACCTTATTGCTTATATAAAGTCTAAAGGCGCTATAGTAGCTTCTCTTAATCTAATACTTTAAGTAGGCAGTCTTTGTCTTTAATAACATAAAGGGCGCTATATAACGCCGCCTTAGGAAGGGGACCGACGCAGGCTACGCGCAAGCCGTACGCAGTATGCGCACAGCGTATTAGATGCACATTATAAACTAGAAGCGGTGCTTATAGCGCAGGCTGCGTGGCGCAGTCTGCGCATAGGCCATAGCACGTGCTAGCGCACAGGCCAAGTAGAAACGGGGTTACGCCTGTCCTGCGCACTTGGTGCGCCAGAGGTGCGCCTACGATAAAGAGCGCCTTCCGCACTCCCTTAGAGTGTAAAAGGCAAGAATTAGCTATTGAATATACGGCTGCTTCCTTCTGTTAAGAAGATACCTCCTTGCCTGCCTAACTTACCTAGCCTACTTAAGTACACCTTTAACAATCCTTAATTCTTCTACTATTAGGCTACCCGAGTTAGGAGGCAGAAGGAGCAATAGCACCTTGAAAGACTACAAAGCAAACGTTGCACGCACGTAGTGCGTAGGAAGAGAGCAGCTCTAGGGCGATAGTTAAGAACCCCCTTAACTTTATTGTTAAAGAAGTAGAGAACGAAAACTCTAATCTTTTAAAGGAGGATTATAAGCAACTAGATAACGACGATGCAGGCGAAGGCCTCTTAGGGCAGACTATTAGGCCTACTATAGACTAGATAGTAGTAGACCTTATTGCTAAAAATAATCGACTGTATAAAGCGGAGCGCTTAAAGCAACGAATAGTAAACCTATAGTAACAGCTTTTAAATATAAAAGCAACCTAAGCAAAGGGTAAGCGCACTTATAACAAAAACTCCAATAAAGACAGCCCTTATAGTTAAGATATTATTTTAAAAAGTAGCATTAAACTATCCTTTAAGATACCTAGCAGCTTCTAAGAGCGCGCTATCTAGCTATAGGCTAGAAAGCAACACTTTTATTTAGCCCTTAATAAGTTTAGAAGCGCTAGCTATTAAATTAATTATATGCTTAAATATATAAAGCAGTTATGCTATACTATATAAGAAACGCGCTTATAGAGCATAATAGACGTAGTAGTAGCAAAGGCCTAAAGTAACTAGGATGTATTTAAGGCTTAGACCTTAACCCTTATAGCTAATCCTTATAACATAGCTTTTATTATTACTAATAAAATTAGTAAGGCTTACTAAAGACTAGGGTAAACC